TGAAATTGGTGAAAGAAAGCTTATTGGACCTGAAATTGTGCAATAAACAGAGGACAAGGTAAAAATTATCAAAGATCATCTAAAGATTTCTTCGAATAGACAAAAGTCGTACGCCGATCTAAAAAGACGTGATATTGACTATCAAGTTGGAGATAAAGTATTCTTAAAGGTGTCTCTATGGAAAAAGATTATGAGATTTGGCCAGAAGGGAAAACTTAGTCCCCGATTTATTGGACCTTATGAGATACTTTAAAGGGTTGGACCAGTTGCATATAAATTGGCGTTGCCACCTAAGTTAGACAAGATCCACAATATCTTCCATGTTTCTATACTCAGAAGATATCGTTCTGATCCATCTTATGTTCTTCCAGTTGAATCTATTGAGGTTAATCCTGACTTGACGTATAATGAAGAACCTATTCTAATTCAAGCTCGAGAAGTAAAGCAACTTAGGAACAAGAGAATCCCCTTAGTAAAGGTACTTTGGAGGAACCATTCTGGAAAAGAAGCTACCGGGGAAAGAGAAGAAGACATGAGGACCCTATATCCACACTTGTTCTGGGACTAGTGTAAGGTAAATTTCGAGACGAAATTTCTTTAAGGGGTAGAGAGTTGTAACACCCCTAAAATACTAGACCAACTCTTGCATGTCGATGCATCATTTCTTAATTACTACAATATGTTTTACTCTTATTTTGGGAACTTGAAATTTTGTGATTTTTCCAACCTTGCTTAAAATAAATTATGCTCGTACTTTAATGTTTTGTATGGGGGTATTTACGTAATTTTTCTAATTAAAATTCCATATGAATTGAAAGTGTTGGTATCAATTATATACATATAGGTGTATATGTATACATTTTGGGCAGCACACAATAATTTGGGGCAGCACCTTTTAGTGACAGTTTTATATGTGACTAAGCATCACTCTTAAGACTATATTATCACACCTCCTCTTGTGATTTTCATTTGGAACTGAAGTCCAAGAACTTAAGAACATTTTCTAACCAGTTGTTCATCAAAATCACAAGAGAAACCCTTGGTCCTTTTAGCTGGAAGTCGAGACATCCTACCTTTTGGTGAGTAATCAAAACTTATTTTTTTTAGCAGAATAGTGTTTAGTACTTTTAGAATTTCTCGTTCTGTATAACTCCTTTTTCGGTAAATAAATATGATTTGGAAAGCTGATTCCTATACCTACAACTCTTTTGTTTATGGTAAACTCTAAGTTAGCTTTTATGGCTACGAAATAAGGGACGCAACATATGACATCTTCTGTCCAGATTCTGGAATTTGAAATCCTGTATGTTCAACTGTTAGTGTTTTTATTATATCTTTTTGTACAAAGCATATTTTGCAGTGATTCATGATTATTTGCAAGCTTAAGAGATGTACCTACATATTTTATGAAGGATATAAATTACATTTTGGCCGTTTTCTGTTTCTAATCTAAGTTGCTACATAAAGTGCTTTTATTGGGCAGAATTTCTGTTTTTGGAGTATAGTCGTATTTGTACAGGCTAGACTTACTTGTGATGATAACCCTGTGTTACGCCATCATTATTGTGCTACTAGAAAGTAAATAAGTTATTGAATTTATTTTTTAAGGTTGTATATCCTCGTGTACGAGTTGAAGACTTTGATACGCTGGTTGGTCTACGATTTGAACTCGTGAAGTTGTGTTGGACTGTTTTTGTGCTAAAAAACTGAGGTTTGTGTATAAACTTATACCTGTACACTTTTTACCTGCTGGTATATCTGAAAGTTTACTTTGGTACCTTGGTTACCTCTTGTCACTTTGCATTGTCGTATTTGTATTCTTTAATACATTAAAGACGCTTGTGTAACTCGCCCACTTGTACAGATTGTTTGATCACTTGGCACTCTTGTTGGGACCTTGTCCTTTTTGTGGCTGTGACTTTGTCACTCTTGGCATGCCTCTTGATTCAGATCATTTACCATCTTGACTCTAGATTTTTAGTCCTTCTTAAGAATGAAAGTTGTCCATTTTAAGTACGAACTAGAAAGCCATTTTTAATATGGTTCTTGGTTCTCTTGATTATTGGGTTTTGACCATTCTTGATACCTGTTTGTGCTTGGTGTGACGACATGATGTATATATTGGGCGAGCCTTGTTGTTGAATCTCTTGGAAAACTGTGTTATGAGCATTCTTGACATTTGGATCTTTAAATATAAAACTTGATACTCTTTATATATTGTTTACTTGATTTATTTATTATGTTCAATTATGTTGCCCTTGACTTGAGAATGATAACTTGTTGAATTTGAGGGCTCCAAACTTGTAGTTTTTATACCACTAAGCTATATGCTTAGCGATAGTTGTTCTATCGTAGGGGTTGTTCGAGATGATGCTTGAAGCTGGCCATTGGAGATGGATGTTTTGAGAGCCTTAAGGAAGATCACATTTGCATATAGGCATCTATATTTTATATAAACCTTGGGACTTGTACATATTCTATGTGTTGTATATTTACATGGAATTTTGAGGGCTGATTTGATCATGTCACCATGAATTGTAATATAAATATGGCTATATGTTTTGTTCTTTTTGGGGTGTGTAAACCCAAGTCTTGTAATATCCTAAATCTACTATTACTTTCGAATGTTTGTGTGAAGCATGAGTAGGCTGATTTCGGTACTTGGAAACTTGTAATATTCTTGTTATTTCATCCTTGAGTGTGAGGATATTATATATGCATGAAAAGCTCATCAATTATTTTGGTGAGTTTGGTAAACTAAGACCGGAAAGAAAGAAATGTATCTTTATAAGATACTCAGAACACTCCAAAGGGTATGTGTTTATTGAGGAGTTGGAGAGGATGGAAATAATACTGAAATTGTATCACGAGATGCCTGATTTTCCTAAAAAGGATGAAATTGGTGAAGGTGAGCCCCTTTATGAAATGTTGAATTCGAAAGATCAGGTAATGTCTTCAAGCATACTTGATAACTCTATGGATCAAGAAATGATTTCTGGTCTAAGTGGGAGTTATGAATCTAAAAATCCTATGAAGAAATCTAAACTTTAGTTTAGTAAGAGTACAAGAAAAGTTATACCTAAACGATCTTAGGAGATTGGGGATTATATTTTCTAGGTATCTTTTGCAGAATTGGATGAAACAACTTCTGTAACTGAAGCTTTATCGAGCCTTAAAAAGGATGAATGGTTAAAAGTGATGAAAGAAGAATTAGAGTCCATAAAAACTAACAAAGTTTGGGATCTAGTTGACCTTCCTAAGGAATGTAAAGCTATTGAGAATAAATGGATTCTCAAAGTTAAACAAAAATCAGATGGGTCAATAGAAAGACACAAAGTACGATTGGTAGCAAAAGGTTTTACTCAAGAAGTTGGAATAGACTATGAGGAAATTTTTACCAGTTGTCAAGTTTACTTCCATACGATTACTTTTAGCTATTGTTGCATGTTTATATCTACATGGAACAACCATTAAGTTTCATTCTCAAAAGCTAAGAAAAGAAAGTTGTGAATTGAAAAGATCAATTTATGGCCTAAAGAAATCTTCAAGGTAGTGGTACCTGAGATTTCATAAGAAGGTGATGTCATTTGATTTCACCATGATCGATGAAGACCATTGCATCTATGTGAAAAAGTCCAACATAAATTTTGTAACTCTTTCTCTTTACGTAGATGATATTTTATTTGTTGGAAATAATTTGGAGTATCAAGTCATGGCTTTCAAAATCATTTGATATGAAAGATATGAGTGAAGAAGACTATATATTAGGTGTTAAGATCCAAAGAGACTATTCCAAGAAATTTTTGAGTTTATCTCAAGAAACTTACATATATAAAATATTGGAACGCTTTTGAATGAATAGTTGAAAATCCATGAATACTCCTGTTGTAAGGGGTGAAACTTTAAGCCTTGAAATATGTCAAAAGACTGAAAAAGAAAAGGAAGACATGTTCCGTGTTTCATATTCTAGGGTTGTCGGGAGTTTGATGTATGCTATGATGTGCACTCACCTAGACATTTGTTATGACGTAAGTTTGGTTAGCAGGTATCAATCCAATCCTAGAAGAGATCATTGGAAAACATTAAAGAGAACATTTCGATACCTGAAGGGAACATCAGATCATTCACTATGTTACAGTGGATCTGATTTATTCATAAAAGGATTGGGCTGGT